TCTGGGGCAGTAAAGCTATTCTACATGATACTGTAATAATGGATACATGCATTATACCTGTGTCAAAACCCACAGAATGTACAACACCAAGAGTGAGCCCTAATGTAAATTGAACTTTGGCTGATAACAACGTATCAATATTGGCTCAGCAGTTGTAACAAATGTACCATACCAAAGCAAGAAGTTAATAGGGGAAACTGAGGGTATAAGAGAACTCTACTTTTTGTTCACTTTTTTTCTTGTAAACCTAAAGCTGCTCAAAAGCATCTATTTGTTTTTCTAAAAAATAGCAAAAAGACAGTCATGGAGGTGGTGAGGTGGTGACGGGGTCATTCTAGTATACTTAAGTCTTCTTTGGTACCCAACAGATAGGCTCAAGCAATTTCATTTGAAAGTAGTTATCAGTATATTAAGTCTCCTTATGTTTTTAGTGGTTGTTGCCATTACTAGCCTCTTGCTTTAAAAAAGAAGAGGAAGAATACGAAATTAGCTTACTCTCTTCTCATGAAGTTTGTTTCTTTCAGTCAGAGATTCCATCACACTCTTCCCACATTCCAAACAGTTGGCAACTTTGCCTCACTTCAGGAGCTTGCATACTCTACTTTCTAGGTGTCTTAGCCAAAAAGAAAATCAGTGCTTATTGCCCTTTGTTAGGTGTGATCTAACCCACAAAATCACTGGCTGTGCACTAACTCACAGACTGGATTTGTGCAGCTCAAGGAGGAGCGTTTATTCCTTTCCCATGGTGCAGAAAGGAGGATGGTTGGATAATAACCACAATAAATATCTCGGTTATGAAGAGTACACACATTGTGGAAACTATTGTTAGGTAGAGTACAAGTAGTGATGAGTAGTTATGACTTGCCAAAGAAAAACCCACACTTACAAATTTATAAATCAATCAAAGAAAGATGTGTACTAAGTGCTGCATTTTGCAGCTTATAAGATGAGTTTCCCTCTTAGGATTAAAAAAAAAAAAAAAGTATCCAAAAATTACCCTGTATTCAATGTGCCTTTAACTCAGTGACAGCCAAAAAACAGTAAACTAGCATAAAGTCAGAAGGAAATTCATACTCTCTCATGATGTCAGTGGTATATGCAGGCTCATAAACAAAATTAAGTTTCAGCTGGAAATGGTGGCTCATACCTGTAATCCCAGCACTTTGGGAGACCAAGGCAGGAGGATCAGTTGAGTCCAGGAGTTTGAGACCATCCTGGGCAACATGATGAAACCCCATCTCTACAAAAAAAATACAATAATTAGCTGGGCATGGTGGTGCATGTCTCTAGTCCAAACTATTCAGGAGGCTCAGGTGGAAGGATCCCTTGAGCCCAGGAGATTGAGGCTGCAGTGAACCAAGATTCCACCACTGCACTCCAGCCTGAGTGACATGGGTGAGACCCTATCTCAAAAATAATAATAATAATTTTTCTGCCCAGAAGATCACTTGTTCATGTGTACTAAAGATAACAAAATTTTTCTTTTTTAAAAAATGTCTTAAGTGGGATGTGTCTTACTTATGTACCTGCATATCTTAAAGAGAGTGAACAAGATCTTCCTAGGCCCACAATTGATTCTCTTCTGTCATATTTTCTTGGACTTCATTTCCCAAATGTTACATCGGTTCATTGGTGTGTTCCCCAGCTCAGTATTCGGTTTCTGCCTGCTACCAAAAATACTTGGCAAGATAGCACAGTAATACACCTCTATAGTATCTGAAAGACGAGGGATATAATCTCATCCTTCCTAATTTTCTGAGAAAATTCTGTGGGCTCTTCTTATTTAAGACCTAGCACGTTAATTAGTAAAAGAAAATAGGAAGCTGGTAAGCAACTTCAGCAAAGTCTCAGGATACAAAATCAACGTGCAAAAATCAGAAACATTCCTTTATACCAACAATAGACAAGTGAGAGCCAAGTCATGAGTGAACTCCCATTCACAATTGCTACAAAGAGAATAAAATACCTGGAAATACAACTTACAAGGGCTTTGAAGGAACTCTTCAAGGAGAACTACAAGCCACTGCCTAAGGAAATAAGAGAGGATATAAACAAATGGCAAAACATTCCATATTCATGGATAGGAAGAATCAATATTGTAGAAATGGCCATACTGCCCAAAGTAATTTATAGATTCAATACTATTCCCATCAACTACCACTGACATTTTTCATGGAATTAGAAAAAGCTACTTTAAATTTCATATGGTATCAAAGAAGACCCCATATAGCCAAGACAATCCTAAGCAAAAAGAACAAAGCTGGAGGCATCATGTTACCTGACTTCAGCCTATACTACAAGGCTACAGTAACCAAAACAGCATGGTACTGGTACCAAAACAGACATATAGACCAATGGAACAGAACAGAGACCTTAGAAATAACACCACACATCTACAACCCTCTGATATTCAACAAACCTCACAAAAAGAAGTGATGAGGAAAAGATCTCCTATTCAATAGATGGTGCTGTGAAAACTGGCTAGCCATATTTAGAAAACTGAAACTGGATCCCTTCCTTACACTTTATACAAAAATTAACTCAAGATGGATTAAAGACTTAAATGTAAAACCCAAAACCATAAAAACCCTAGAAGAAAACCTAGGCAATACCATTCAGGACATAGGCATGGGCAAAGACTTCATGATGAAAACACCAAAAGCAATTGCAACAAAAGCCAAAATTCACAAATGGGATATAATTAAACTAAAGAGCTTCTGCACAGCAAAAGAAACTATCAGAGTGAACAGGCAACCTATGGAATGGGAGAAAATTTTTGCAATCTACTCATCTGACAAAGGTCTAATATCCAGAATTTATAAGGAATGTAAACAAATTTACCAGAAAAAAAAACAAACAACTTCATCAAAAAGTGGGCAAAGGATATGAACAGATAATTCTCAAAAGAAGACATTTACATGGCCAACAAACATATGAAAAAAAGTTCAACATCACTGATCATAGAGAAATACAAATCAAAACCACAATGAGATACTATCTCATGCCAGTCAGAATGGCTATTATTAAAAAGTCAAGAAACAATAGATGCTCGTGAGGCTGTGGAGAAATAGGAACACTTTTACACCGTTGGTTCGAATGTAAATTAGTTCAAGCATTGTGGAAGACAGTATGGCGATTCCTCAAGGATCTAGAACCAGAAATACCATTTGACCCAGCAATCCCATTACTGGGTATGTACCCAAAGGAATATAAATCATTCTACTATAAAGACATATGCACATGTATGTTCATTGCTGCACTATTTATAATAGCAAAGACTTGGAACCAACCCAAATGCCTATCAATGATAGACTGGTTAAAGAAAGTGTGGTACATATACACCATGGAATACTATGCAGCCATAAAAAAGGAATGAGATAATGTCCTTTGCAGGGACATGGATGAAGCTGGAAGCCGTTACCCTCAGCAAACTAACACAGAAACAGAAAACCAAACACCAATTGTTCTCACTCATAAATGGGAGTTGAATAATGAGAACACATGGACACAGGGAGGGGAACAACACACACCAGGGCCTGTTTGGGGGGTGGGGGGTGAGGGGAAGGAACTTAGAGGATGGGTCTATAGGTGCAGCAAACCACTCTGGCACACGTATATCTATGTAACAAACCTGCACATTCTGCACATGTATCTCAGAACTGAAAGTAAAATAGAAAATAAATAAATAAAAAATAAAACACTTAGCATGAAAATTAATTAAAGAAAATAGGGAGTAAAAAAATCTAAATATATTGTTGCACTTACAACAGTTTTTTCTTCTTTATTTAATAGAGGCAGGGTCTTGCTATGTTGCCCAGGCTGGCCTCAAACTCTCTGGGTTCAAGAAATCCTCCAGCCTCAGCCTCCCAAAGTTCTGGGATTACAGGTGTAAGACACCGTGCTCAGCCTGTCATACATTTTAACTTTGGAATGAAATTTAAATTTCCATTTAAACATAGATGTTTCTGAAATCATGGGAATTTACAAAACAAAATAACAAGTCACTCTTGTAAAGAGATGAGAAACTGCTCGATTTTTCTATATCACCCTCTCCACCTTTGCCTGAGATAAGAGGAGGTGGCCCAGCTTTTTCCACACTGAGCAGAGGTGACCTGCCTCTCTCTAATGAACTGTGCTTTATGCCTGTTTTGTTCCTGAGAGAAGAGTTTAGATAGAGTAGAATTAAAGTTTGATTTAAGAGACCCTTCCTGAAGGGTATAGTGGCTCATGCCTGTAATCCCAGCACTTTGGGAGGCCAAGACAAGAGGATTGCTTAAGCCCAGGAGTTCAAGACCAGCCAGGGCAACATAGGGGGATTCCCCATCTCTACAAAAATAAAAATTAGCTGAGCATGGCAGTACACAGTTGTAGTCCCAGGTAGCCACTCAGGAGGCTCAGGTGGGAGGATCACTTGAGCCTGCGAGGTGGAGGCTGCAGTGAGCTATCATTGTACCACTATACTCACCTGGGCAACATAGCAAGACCCTATCTCTACAAAAAATAAAAATAAAAATTAGCTGTGTATGGTGGCACACATCTGTAGTCCTAGCTACTCAGGAGGCTGAGGTGGAAAGATTGCTTGAGCCCAGGAGTTTGAGGCTGCAGTGAACAATTACTACACCACTGCACTCCAGCCTGGGCAACAGAGCAAGACCTAATCTCTAAAAAAATGAAAAAGACCCCTCCTTCCAACAACGTTAAACCACTAGAGATGTTTCATACTCCGTACAATTTTTTCTCTCTTTCTGTTCACAATACATTGGGACTTATAGGCAGAGTAGGAGTCAATGGGAGCTATGGTAAGAAAGTCAACAGAGGGCTGGAGGAACAATACCAACAGCTAGGATTCTCTACTCCCAGATTTGCTAACAAGCATTGATTTGCTCCCAATATACAACACAATCTGAGTGAAGATCATTGAAAATCTAGGATCTTTTGGTCTAAAGTTGGAATCGTGGAAGGCATTTTCTCAACCTTGTTCATGTCTCTTTCCTTTGCAGGGCAACAGGCTTTGGCTTCTTAAATGCGCTATGCAAGGCAGCAGCCGTCTTGGGAAACTTAATATTCGGCTCTCTGGTCAGCATCACCAAATCAATCCCCATCCTGCTGGCTTCTACTGTGCTTGTGTGTGGAGGACTCGTTGGGCTGCGCCTGCCTGACACACGAACCCAGGTTCTGATGTAATGGGAAAAAAGCCATCCTTCCTGCGTTTCTTCCTCCTGCCCTGGGTCAATTCTCCTTCCTGACTCAAGGCTTCAGAGTTTTCCTATATAGAAAGGTGATCAAGTATCAGAACATAAACACTTGCTATGACTTAAAATTTAGAAGCATATCATCTTGCCCCTTTGTGATTTTGCACAGGTTTTGTTTGTTTGTTTGTTTTGTTTTAATGCATTAATTATCTTTCCAAACTGTGATGCTACTGCCTCCCGCAAATCAGTGGAAGCATTTCTAAAATGCCCTAGGCAGCCAGGCTTCCCTGGGGTTGTGCTTATTGAAAGTTTAGAGCTAAGAAGACTGGGCTGGTGTAAGAAATAGATCCTGCTCCTAATTTAACATTAACAGGAAATATAAGTCGGCACATTATTGCATTTGTGCTGAGAAGAGGGATTCTTTTTTTTTTTTTTTTTTTTTTCTGACACAGTGATATTTCCTGTTTACTTAGAAAAGGACACCCAGTAATTCTTGCTGTTATAGCAGAGCCTTTCAAAGAAAACCATGTGGCACCAAACAGGGCTGGGTGGGGCTCTTTGGAGCAAGACAATTAAGGTGACTCTGCTGACAAGAAAAATAAAAGCTCTGCAATTAGCAGCAAAAATCTGAGTGAGCTGCATAAGCAAGATTTCTGTCAGAAAGCCCAATTAAACCTCTGAAGAGTGTGAGGAAAAAGGACTGTAACAGTATCTGTGATTGTGGCACGTGGTTCAGAATGTTTGAAAATCAGAGATTGGAGAGAGAGCTTCTGCCTCCATTTACCACCCCCACTCCTTCAGCTGCCCTTGGTCTTGCCAGACAGCAGATTCAAGGAAAGAAAGCTGCTTCTTAAAAACTGTCTGCCTACCTGATTCTGCCACTTACCCACACTGTCTCTAGTCTAGAGATTGCCAGTGGATACCTAAATTGTAAATTGCAAATTAGGAAGAAATTCACACCTAGAGCCATTTGGAAATACAAAATGGTGCCTCTTTCTGGTACCTCTTTTCTGTGGGACTGGCCCGCCAGGACCCCCACCTCACCTGCCCCGCAGTTGACATCCAGCTTCCCAGCTGGCATCGCCAAAGAGGGTTTGTCCCTCTAGCTTCCCCAGGGCTGGCCCACTGCTCAGTGCGCTCCTAGCTCGCTGCAAAATCACAGCCTGCCCGCACTCCTGAGGGGCCTTCTCACAGACAGACCATCTCCCTGTGGTTGTTCGGCTGCTCATTTTACCTCTGGAATCTGCCTGGGCTTGGAAGAAAGAGGTCAGCCAGGACATTCCCACGGGCCCGCTGTCAGCTACATGACCTTCTCGCCTCTCGGGCTCCCCTTCCCCCAGGCTCGTCCTTTTTACACATCTTCTTTGAAATCTGAACCTTCCTTGTAGACTTGCAGCCAATCACCAGAAGCCAGGAATAAATCCCATATTTAAACAATATTCCTTTTTTAACTGCCTCGTTAGAGGTTTCTTCTTGTTACTTATTATAGGCATTTTCAGGCAAGCCATAGCTTGGGGCCCCCAGGAAGGGAAAGCTTTTGTTTCTACTAATCATTATATTCAGAGATGTCCTAACTCCCCTGAGGCCCCCCTGCCTCCCCCTCCCCTTCCTAATGATCCCTCCTAGAGCTCAGACTAAGTGAAAAGCTTCTTTCATTAACATAAGCCATTAATCGACTTCCCCTTGAAGTAATTCAGGTCTGCAGAGGGGGGCAGACTGGTATTGGGGGCAGTGGGAAGAGGGTGGTTCCCTGGGGATCTGTGATCAGGGCTAGAACATCAGGAAAACCTGAACCAAAAACTGCAAAGGTGGCAGGAAGAAGAAAAATCACTGAAGGCTAGACAAGATGCATTTGAAAGATACCAACAGCGGAGGGAAAGAAACCACTTTCGCTCACCTCTGCCTCCCATCATTTTATTGGAGAACAAAGACAGCAGTCAAACAACCCAAGAAAGTACCCTGCATGTTTTTCTTCTTCCACGTGTACTCATTTTCCCACCTATCCATCCCTGATTTGTCTTCTTAAAAAAGATATTTGGGGACCTGAACAGGTCTTTTAGTTGAATGCAGCATGTGCAGAAATAACTGCAAAAGCCAGGAGTGCATCTCCATCAACCCATCAAAAGAAAAATAGAAATGCGTATGGACATCACTATCTCTAGTCTTCTGTGATAGTTCACTTTGCTTACTAGACTACCTTTACTTTTTAAAATGTCTCTAATGTCTGCTCTGGGGTCTAAATGCATAAAACATCTCCCAAGCTGCAGAGCACAGTTATTCAGAATTTTATTTGAACACTGGGTTGAGTCAACACAGGATAAACCAGCAAAACCTTACTTCTTGAGACCTCCCATCCGTGTCCCCTGCAGAAGGACTGTTCTTGGTCTACTTGCTACCTAATCCAAGCATCCTTGGTGGCCTAAGAGGGATATTTTCTAATCTCCTGGAGAGTCTGTGGTCACAAACCTTCTTGGTCACCACCTCTCCCACCTTTTATGCACTCTTCCCTGCCTCCTTGAGATTGTTCATCACCTTGATTTTCTAAGAGAGCTCAAATCATTTCCAAAGTATGTGGTGTGGCCTGTCTGGCTTGCTCTGGATTTAGCTAGAGATTAAGAAACAGCCAGGATATTAAACAGAGAGTCTCAGCTGTATCAGTGTAGCAGGCTGCTGGCACTCAAACCTGCAACTGGCATCTCATTTCATCTACAGTAGAAGGAAAATGAAAATTTGCACAAAAATGAAAACCGAGGAAATAGTCCACTTGCTCCTTTATTTTTACCGCCTTTTCTAACTAAAATTTCCCTATTGCTCTTTGGAATCAATCCAGAGTGCTCCCAAGTCCCATTATTATCACAGAATCTTCTCAGTAGGGAAAATCAAACAATTGCTTCAAACTGTCAATTCTGTATGTACCACATTCTATCCCAGGTATTGGGTCTTAAAGCACCCAACTCACCTTCAGTCCTGCTGCCTGAATCATCTCACACCAGAGTACAAACCTGGGAGACGCAATAGGTGGGTCCTAGCCTGACTTTCACCACTGAGCAGTACAGGGACCCAGATCTTGCTGGGGAGACTGTAAGTCCTTGAACATCTCTGGTTCTCACTTTCCCCATGCACAAAGTAAAGGATTGGAACTAGTCTGCTCTCCACTCTCCAGCATTCTAGAAGACAGTGATGAAAATAACTTCATCTCATCTGCCTTCTTATACTAAACTCATCCTTTTTTCCTTTTTTTTTTTTTTTTTTTTTTTTATTTGATGGAGTTTCGCTCTGTTGCCCAGGCTGGAGTGCAGTGGTAGGACCTCGGTTCACTGCAACCTCTGCCTCCCGAGTTCAAGCGATTCTCCCACCTCAGCCTCCCAAGTAGCTGGGACCACATGCATGCGCCACCACGCCCAGCTAATTTTTGTATGTTTTAGTAGAGACAGGGTTTCACCATGTTGGTCAGGCTGGTCTTGAACTCCTGACCTCAAGTGATCGGCCTGCCTCAGCCTCCCAAAGTGCTGGGATTACAGTCGTAAGCCACTGGCGGCCTCAACTCATTTTTACAAGCACTAAATAGGTTTAGTTTATAAACTGAAAAATTAGGAAATAGACAAGCATAAAAAGAGTGTAGGAAGTTGTTTGGGAAGCCCACGTGGAATAGGCCAGAAAGCACAGTCCCCATGCTGTGTGCCCTGCCAGCATCTCAGCATCCTGAGTAGTATCTCTATTCACTGCAGGTTTGACAGTTACCATTGCCCAGTCAGGAAAGGGCCCCGCCCTGCCAGATAAACACACTTAGGATAGAAGACTCTATAATTGCAATATTACCCGACAGCTCTCCTGACTGTTTATTCCATTATTTTCTTGAAACATGGCCTTAAGTATTATACGTAGGCTTTCAGAAACAGTTTTTCAGTGATTTTACCTATATTGGCAAATAGACAAATCTCACCAAATCAGAGTTCAGGTTTTCACCAAAAACTGCTTAGCTGTCTTTCAAGATACCTTAAGAGATCAAAGGGGAGGTGGGAAAAGAAATGTAGTGACAGAAGGGAGAGTTCAAGATACCATTGATAAGGTTCCAACAAAGAGATTAGGACACAGCAGAGACTTTCTAAATGCCGGGATCATTTCCAAAGCAGTCCAGGGGAATACCTTCTGATTCCCTCTGCCACTCAAAATAGATAGAATACGGTATTCTCTAATTTTTTGTGTGTTTGATGTCACAATGGCCTTTACCTGTTTCTTCAATAATACACCTTATTTGTTCAAGCACTAAAGGCTCTGGAACCAGGAATGTCTGAATTTGGCCTTCACCTGGTACCATAGACAGACAACTGGCATATTGGTGTTAAGGGGGCATATGTTAGGTTTTCTTTAATCCCCACATTGTGCCAAACTTTGTCCAGTTACTAAACCTAAAAACACCAGTCATATTGCAACAGCAGAAAGAAATCTGCACAGTGGGAAACTCCGAAGTGGACTATACGTTTCTTACAGTTTTTGTTTCTGCTCAGCAAAGTACGTGTTTTAAGTAAAGCTTCTCTTGTAATGTGTAATGTAGACAAAAAAAAAAAAACAAAACAAAACTGTTAATATATCCAGGATGCATTGCGTGTCCCTTCATGGTTTCAGGTGTAGCATAACAGTTCTCCGTGTGATGTTCTTTTGCTCTAAATGTTGATCATTCCTCTTGTCACCTGTCTCTCACCAACCAGTCACAGAGCCATTGCCAGGGCTCCCTTCAGTTTTTCTTAAACAATACCTAAACGCAGTTTAGTAATCCCAGGATTTTGAGTTACAAGAATACAGTTTATGGGTCTGTTTCAGCTCTTACTTAAGGCTAGCATGGTTGGGCAGGGAAAGAGCTGAGCCGAGTCTTCACTGATCTCTTGTCATTTCATATGATTATCCAGTCAATGCTTATTGAGCACCTCCCATGTGATAGGTATGAGACACTGTGCTGTGTGCAATAATTACGCCTTTGGAGGACTTAAATGAGGGCGAGGAAAACAGAATGAGAGAAAACACCCTCACCCCGTTACATATGAACTCTCCCCGCCCCCCCAACCACATAAATACAAAGTGTTATTTTCCCACCTTTAAAATAAATAATAGCCTTCAGCAGGCAGTGCAGGAACTACTTGGTCATTGGAATTACCTTTGATGAGAGGAGAAAGCTCCTTGATTACCTGGTTTTTGTTGGAGCGACTATTAACTAGTTCTTGGAAAATGTGAAAAATGAAACCACACATAAGCTGTTCCCTTAAATGATCTCAGCAGGATATTGCACTAAGATATTATTCAAGGAAAAGAATCAGGAGCAGAGATAGCCCCATCTTTCTAAGCATTTTTCTTTTTCTTTTTCTTTTTTTGGGCGGGGGTGGTGGTGGACAGTCTTGCTCTGTTACCTAGGCTGGAGTGCAGTGGCGCGATCTCGGCTCAATGCAACTTCCGCCTCCCAGGTTCAAGCAATCCTCCTGCCTCAGCCTCCCAAGTAGCTGGGATTACAGGTGCATGCCACTATATCTGGCTAATTTTTTGTATTTTTAGTAGAGATGGGGTTTCACCATGTTGGCCAGGCTGGTCTCCAACTCCTGACGTCAAGTGATCTACCCACCTTGGCCTCCCAAAGTGCTGGGATTACAGGCGTGAGCCACTGCGCCTGGCCTAAAGTCCCGCTTTCTTCTGAGGTATTCTTTTCATGGCGTGAAACCAGAGACAAGAGCTAGGGAGTCTGTTCCCCAGCGAATAGTACTGGGGTTTTCTCTTCAGAGCCAAGTCAGCAAAGCCTGCAGCTGCTGCCACTCCCCTGGCCTGTGCCTCCCAGGGTGTTTCCTTTCTGATTTTGAAGATTTGTGGGTGAGTCAACTATCTTTACAGACATCCTAAAGCAGCTTCCCTCCTCTCTACCCTCAGCAGATAAGCCATCCAGAAAACAGGTTCTGACAGCCAGTAGCGGGGGCATTTTCGGGTTTCAGTTTAAAACTGGTGCATGTTGTTGCAAGTGTCTTGAAGTTGCAAAGGGTGTTTGGGGTTCTGGGGCCTGCAGGGGGCACAGCAGAAAGACAGTAGTCGTCAGTGACCCTCTACCCTCCTCTGAGAGCCCCATTGCCACTTTTCCCCACCAGTTCTCTCCTTACCTCCTCAGGGCAGTGCCCACTCATTTCCTTTATTTCCTTTTTTTTTTTTTTTTTTTTTTTTCCTTTTCTCCTCTGGTCAACAACCTCTTAATTCCAGCAGTATACAAAAATAAGGCCAAGCTTTCCTGGGGCACTCGGGATGAAAGGCTCATCCATGCCCGTTGTGGAGGCGCAGAAGATGGAAAAGGTGAAGAACAGGAGTGGGTGCAGGGGGAGTGTGAATGTGAGGCTGCTGGGTTTTGGCACAGCTCCCTGTGTGGGGCTAGATTTCCAACTGCTTTTCAGTGCTTGTGCCCTGATAGGACGGGCACAGCTGGCATGGAATCAGAGCGGCCCATATCCAGAGCAGAAGTCTGAGAGCTCAGCATTCGACCCCTGAAAGACCAGGAGGTTCCCACCTGGGTTCTCGAGATTCATTGACTAGTGGAGGTGGATGGTACTCTCCATGTTTGCAGAAGGTCCCCCACTTGGTGCTGAAGGCTAGGTGCCTTCCAGTCAGGTCTGAATTCTGAAATTGCAGAGGTTGTCCACCGTCTGCCTACTCTACCACGTTCATGCTCCCCTTAGATCCAAAAGTGTCCAGGACTAGGAGCAGAAAGCAGCTTTCAGCCCTTCGTTCAGACTCAGTGGGTAATCTACCCCAGCAGCAGGAGTGCAAAGTCCAGAACAGCTTTGCAGTGCCTGGGGTGTGACCAGGCAGCCTGCTCACAGGGGCTGGAGTATCTAAAGCTACTGATGAGCTGGAACAGCTTTGAACCAGTTCATCAGAACTGATGGTTAAAGTTTCAGGACTTTTGAGAGTCAGTTGAGAAACATAGCTATTACTAAAAAATTAAATAAGGTTAGATAAGTGATAGCTAAAAACAAAGGCAATATATATTCAAAGCTCATCAATTTCTACTTATTTTACTACATTTTACCAGTATCTGTGCCCATGAGGTAATATATGCCTATTATGTCTGTATGGTAGAAATACTATACACAGGTATACTACTACACACAACTTCCCAAGTCAATTCCTAAGCATGAATTGACCCTTCAAAAAATAAGCACTATTTTTAATGTCCTTAGGTATAGAGAAAACCAGTTTCTCCAATTTAAGCTTATTTGAATTGTTTCTGTATACTTGATAGTATATTTGTAGTTTAAGATCATCTATAGTGGTGGTATTTATACCATGGAAAGCAACAAAACCATGCAAATCAGACTCCTCCTAACCCCCAAGACAGGTGTGAAACGTTTACCAGCCTACCACCATCTCAAGCCCTAAAGAATGCTTGGCCTCCCACCGCATAGACCCAGGCCACACCACACTGAGTTTCATAGGTTTATGGGTCAGCATTGCCCCTAAGTCCAAGGAAGGGGAAAGACTTAGCAAGCTCAACCTCATGTGATTCACAAAGGGCTTCTTTCTGCATTTGTATTGACTCAGAATAGGACCCAGTACAGAGAACCCACTGTTTTCTATGGGTGTTATTCGTTCAGGAAGAATGTACGGTAAAATTGGCTATTTCATGCTATGCAAACAAAATGAAACTAGTTTGAAGTTGCCAAGTGTCTCCCCTCTTGCACCCACATAGTCATCCAAGAAGGAAACTCCGTCCTTGCCTTGACATTCACCAGACCTGCCTAGAGAGAACTTGACAAATTGGCCTAACTTCATTTCCGCTGCTATTGTTATATATTTACTTTACTGAATCTGTGTCCTAAGTCAGTCAGAAGAAAAGAAATGTCCTTTTTAAATATACACTTTCTTAGCATCCATGCAGTTATGTATCCTCACCCTGATCCAGGAACATATTGAACAGATCATCTGTCTTTTGTTAATATCTAGATACACTAACATCCTAGAAGAGTTTTCTCTTTCAGATGAACTTCCATTTTGAACATATGCTAAACGTACAATCCACTGTCTTTTGTAATGAAATCTTGGCAATGGTCCTGTCGGTTTTGGTGTTTGGGTTGTTTGGCTTTGTTTTCTTTTTTTGTTCTTTCTGTTTTTAATGCTGTGTAAGATCTCCTGCTGTGAATGTTCCAGTTACCCCTATTGTACTGTATATATGTGTGCTGCATGTGTGAACCCCAGCAAATTCTGTTTCAGGTTTTGGAGTTTTCATCTTAAGTACAGCTGGTCCTGTTGTGAACTCATCTTTCTAG